CAGGGGAGGAGGGGAGGGAGAGGGAGTTAGGATTGACATGTGAAGCAACCTTGTTTATAATTTAAATTTAAAAAATCACAAGAAAAAAAGACCTATTTGTACTGCCCATATATTCTTGGATATGTAAACTTCCAACAGAGCATGGCAACCACCAAGCCAATACTCCTAGAGAAAACTGACCCTTATTCTTCCAGAAGTTAAAAGTATCCAACAGTTCTACAAGTTTAGATGGAATTCTATACCTATTTCCCCTCACCTTGCAGGAATGTCACTAAACAATCTTTTGCATTTTTCTGGAATCTGCTATAATGCCCTGTATTGGCTTTAATTTTATTACTTTGTTGTTGCTAGTTTTTTGCTTGATTGCTTGCTTGTTTTTTTGTTTTGTTTTTATTTGTTTAAGACAAAGTCTCACTATCCCAGGCTTGCCTCACAATCACTAGGAAATGAAGGGTAATTTTGGAGTTTAATCTCCTTCCTCTATATCCAAATGTGAAAGCTGTATTTTGGTTGACAGATACATTGATATTGCTACTTCTATCTCAAAAATTCTTTGTCAATTTATTTACACAATAATGCTACAAGAGCAACCGGGCCTTATGCAATTTACTCACTGCTAGCAAAGACTGAGCTGTTCTCTCTCTGCTCACCCTGCTAAACTCACATCAATTTTCCAACCACACTGGGGAGCAATGATCTGAAATATGGGATGGAGTGTATATTTACTGATGCATTTGAAGGCTTAGTATTCTTCAGAAACAGAGGGGCAGGTGGTTCTCCACAAAGCTGATTATAATTAGAAAATTCAGACCCAAATGAAGACTCTTTGAGAATTTTAAACAAGTTAGATATGATTTAATCTTTACTCTGTAGGAACCCCCCTGACTACTGTAGAGAACTAATAGAAACCTATAACCGAAATCAAGAATGATACAAAGCCTCCTGGTGATAAAGACATTTCTTCTGGAAAAGGACGGAAAATGGAAATTTTTTAGATGATTTTATCTACGATTTTTTTGAAAGTTGTGTTAACTGAATTTGCAACGAGACCGTACTTGTGGTAATATGAAATCAAAGTGACTGTGATGATTGGAAAAAAAACTGTGAGTAACTAACAAAAAACGGAAAACTGATACAATCTGAACTGTATCGACAACATGACTGCCTTTCATCGCAAGTCTTGAGGAAAAAGTGACAAAATTAAAAAATGATGGTGTATCCACAATCTATTCTAAATGATCCTTGTAAGACTCAGACATTCTAATACAGATAGAAGATTGATGCACATGCATAGAGAAAAATGCAAGAAACATAACTCTAATCTGTAGACATAGAAGACCCTGAAGAAACAGAGATTTCTACCAAAGTAATCGTGTCATTTAAGCCTGTAGCCCATGTGAAAAGATAACTCTGCTTTTCTGCAACACAGTCTGTGGGATTGCTTTTTTTTCTTTATGCCAGTTTGTCGATTGTTTTTCTTTGTGTGCTTTATTTTGTTTTGCTTTATTTTGTTTTTTTTTTTACAGTCATTGGAAACATACAAAAAGTATAGAAGTGTAGCAGGAGGAAAAGTCTAATTCCATCTGAGGCATGTTGCCTTTGAAAGAGATATAAAAGAATAATGACAGTTAGATGGCTTTGATGGTCGCAGAGGCTAAAAATGACAGCTACACAGTGCTCATTGCTCCAACACCGTTTTTCATAGCTCAGTTTTCTCTGGCAGCTTTTCTCTGAATTCTATTTTTATTATCTCCAATTAGTTGGTAGCTCATATTTCATTTCATGACACATTAATCTCTTCACTCATCTTTGTCAGTGGAAAAAATGGGAAAGACTTGAGCTGAATGACATTTGGGAGACTCACATATTCTCTTTTATGAATGAGAAAGTAATGGACTGTGATAATTTCCCCCAGTACTGCCATATTCAAAGTCACTCACATAACAGGAACAAGTCTACCTGGCTATCACCTTCAGTATTCTCTCTAGTTAATTTCTCACCTGTGACCCTGCTCAGTACCGCTGATCTCCAGGTTCCCTCCCATGTAGTATCTTGGATCAAGTACTTTTATTCTGTGTCCTGAAAAACTCATAAACATGAGGAAATTCTCTACAAGATCCTACTATTGTCTCAATCTTCCACTTTTCCACATGAAAGCATTCTTCTAAGTTCTTCTGCTCTTACCTGTAATCAAATCTGATGACTCATTGAGCAGTTTCCCTTCCCTATAGACTCCCAGGACTTTGCTCTCCAGTGTTCATGAATCAAAGATCTCAATTCAGACCCTGTGCTAAGTGTACCTGTAGAGAGCAAAATCCTCTGGGGCTTGGCCTCAGCTGTCGTGGGTTCTCCATTAGATATTGTAAGGACTGATGGACCCATATTCACATGCCAATTCTAGAGAATCTAGGGAAGTCTGGGGATTGTGTTTACCTTTTATGAATATCAGAATCTGTATAAAGTGATAACAAGATAGAATGAGGAATCCAGACTGTCAAAAGCAGCTCCATTGATGCCCCTGGGGAACCAACTCTGATCTGCTTCTCTGAAACATTGCTCACATAAAGCAATGGGTAATCTCTAAGCTGAATTCAACAAACTTCCAAGAGAGTAAACAATACCTTCTTTAGGTTCTTATTAGTTCATGTTATCTAAGAGAATCACAATAATTTGGCCAAGCCATCCCAATATTGTTGGCTGTTGGACCAAATTCCCACAAGACAATTAATTATTACCAAACAGGACCTCCTACAACTGTTAAACAACTTCAGTAAAATAGCAGGGTAAGTGATTAACTCAAAAACATCAGTAGCCTTCCTATATACAGTTGGTAATTGGACTGAGAAAGAAAAGTACTTTCAGACCCAAATGAAGAATTTTTGATAATTTTAAACAAGTTAGATATGGTCTAATCTTTACTTTGTAAGAACCATCCTGACTACTGTAAGAGAACTAATAAACACCTTCAGTAATGTATAAGGATACATGATTAACTAAAAAAATCAGTAGCCTTTCTATATACAGATGGTAATTGGACTGAGAAAGAAATCAGAAACATCACCCTTCACAGAACAACATAAAATATCTTGGATTAATTCTAACAAGTGTAAACCTGTATGGCAATAACTTTAAGTCTTTGAAGAATGAAACTGGAGATGTGAGAAAATGGAAAGATCTCCTGTACTCTGGGATAGGTAGGTTCAACAGAGTAAAAACAACAATCTTACCAAAAGCAATCTACAGATTCAATACAATCCCCACCAAAATCAAAGTATATTTCTTCACAGTCTTCAAAAGAAAAAAATTCAGCTTCATATGGAAAAACAAACAACCCAGGATGGCTGAGACAGTCCTGTACAATAAAGAAGCTTGTGGAGGTATCACCACACCTCACTTCAAACTCTACTATAGAGTTACAATAATGAAAACATCTTGGTATTGGCATAAAATTCATCCAATGAAATTAAATTGAAGAGCCTGATATTAGTCCCCTACACCAATAAACACCTGGTTTTTGACAAAGAAGCTAAAATTATATAATGTAAAAAAAGCATCTTTAGCTAATGGTGGTGGCATTACTTGAGTTTGACATATAACAGCTTACAAATAGATCCATATCTGTCTTCATACACAAAAATCAAGTCCAAATGATCAAAGATTTTAACAAAAATCCACAATGAACCTCATAGAAGACAAATCAGGAATTCGCCTTGAACACATTGGCAGATGAGACTACATCCTATATATAACATTAAAAAAACAGACACTGAGAGAATCAATTAATAAATGGGACCTCCTGAAACTGAGAAGCTTCTGTAAAACAAAGGACATGGTCAACAAAACAAAACAGCAACCTACAGAATTGGAAAATATCTTCAACACCCCCATATCTAACAGAGGGCTGATCTCCAAAACATATATAGAAACTAGACACAAAAATACCAAATAATCCAATTTTAAAAAAGGATACAGATATAAACAGAAAATTCTCAACAGAAGAAACTCAAAAGGTTAAAAGACATTTAAGGAATTGTTCAACATCCTTGGTCAGCAGGACAATTCAAATCAATACAACTCCGAGAAACCAGCTCACACCTATCAGAATGGCTAAAATAAAAAACACCAATGACAGCTTATGCTAAAAGGATGTGGAGTAAAAACACTCTTTAACTGCTAGTGGGAGTGCAACCTTGCATAGCCACTTTGGAAATCAGTATGGCAGTTTCTCACAAAATTGGTAATCAATCATGACCCAGGGATGCCACTCTTGGACATATACCCAAAGGATGTACAATGATACCACAAAGACATTTGCTTAACTGTGTTAATAGCACCACTATTTATAATACATAGACATTGGAAAAAACCTAGATGTTAACCAATCAAAGAATGAATTTATAGGCAATTGGATGAAACTAGGAAAACCACCCTGTGTGTGGTACCCCAGGCCCAGAAAGAAAAATATGGTATGTACTTACAAGTAATATTAGGCACAAAGCAAAGGAAAACTATCCTACTTTCCACAACCCCTGAGAAGCCAGGTCACAAAAAGGACCCTAAGAGACAGATCATGGATATTCACAGTACAGGGAAATAAACAAGATCTAAGTAAATCATGAGCATGAGAAAGAGTGTGGAAAGGGAGATGTGAGGAAGAAAGGAGAATGGGGAGGTAAATGTGAGGGAATGGGATGGTTGAGTTGGAGAAAGAAGGGAGAAGAATAAAGTTGATAGAGGGAGCCATTATGGCATTGTCGAAAAAACTTGCAATGGGGAAATTCCTAGGAACACACAAGAATAACCCCAGAAAAAACTAAGCAACAGTGGAAAAGTTGCCTGAACTGGCATTAACCCAATTATGTGACTCTGGGATTTAAAATTCTTGCTACATTTCACCAGTGTCCATGGAATGTTTATCTGGATGTTCTTATGTTGTAAACCCAACACTCATTTTCTAGTATCCCCCCTCATTACGAAGAAATACAGACAATACTCAGAAATCGAAAGCTGAAAATTTTATTGCGGCCAGGTAGACAGACAACAATGGTTCATTGGCCTCTTTTTCTGAGGAACCTAGGCTTCTCAGACACTCTCTGAAACAGAAAAGACAGGAGGAAAGTTAGTGTAAAATTGGAAGAAGCTGGAGTTTTGGTTGCTACTTCACCACTGAAGTGAGAGACAAAAATGCTCTTCTCCCCAATGCCTTCCCCTCCTTTTTTCCTTGTTTCCTCATATTACCTTTTGACAGCCACAGAGCAGACAATAGAATTAATTTATTTCTCATGAAGAGAAACTGAATGATGGGGCTTAGCTTGTTCATCCTTGAGTTCTGATTTAAAATGTTCCAGGATATATTTTCAAATGTGATCACTGAAATGCACCCCGGCTGGGTGAATATCTGAAGCCAGCCCAAATGTCTATTAATAGAATGACAATAAGAAGATCATGGCAAGCCATGTAATGCAGCATTGTACAATGCTAACACCCCAAATATGCTTAGTATATAAATAGCAAGATACAACCAAGAAGATATGCTGCAGGGAAACTCATGGAATATACTTGAATGAAGCAATGCAGTTTTCCATGAAATGTGACTTTTTATATAAACATCCTAAAGTTTTCCATAGAATATCAGTTATGTAAAGTTGAATGTTACCTGATATACAACCATGTATACACAAAGTAATATTACCAAGAGTGTTACAAAAGGATTAAAAGTAGTAGATTTCAAGGACAAGAATGGGAACTTAAGATAATAAATAATCATAATATTCATCCATGTGTCTTCTTAGGAAGGTAGGTTTTGAGGAACTTGGACTTACATAATTTAAGAAGAAGGTATTAAACATCTGGACAAGGTCAGAGTTGTCTCCAAGGTATCACTTAGAGACAATGGATGTGAGCATCAATGGTATGAGTGAGGCAGATTTTACAGGCTGAAGAGGAGAGATCCCTGAAAGTCAACACAGAAAACAGAGAACCAAAGGGAGGTTGCTTCTGTACTTCTACAAACCAACTCAAATCAAAGTTAATCACTGAGAAACAGGAGCTGTGGAGCTATGTTCTTCAAAGGCAGAAGTACCCTAGTGTGCTTATCCAAAGAGGTCCTACAGCAATACACATATACCATCCTATTATGTGAATGAAATATTAGGAATTGGGCCATGTTTCCCGGGGGCAAAACCTGGGGATCTTCTGTCACCTGCTTCAGCTGCACAAGCAAGTCAGTGGGCAAGCCTCCTGCAGGCAGTTTGCTCCAACACCCCCGCCCCCTGCATAGGACCCAATAATCTACAAGTCCTACTCTGCCCAGAAATCCATGCATCCATCTGTAGAGACCTCAGAGGCTCCCTGAGAAACAAACTATGACCACATAGAGTAGAAGAAGAGTGATTCCCGAGACACAAACAGCAACTGCAACCAACAATCAGTCCAAGAGAGGATCTCTGAGAAACAGGCACCAACTGCAATGTTTGGATTGTGGTAAAGTATTATTGGCTGCTTTGCTTTCTGAAGGGTCAGGCAAGCTTTAATAAATCATGTATAATATAACCACAATGGATCAAGAGGCAAAGAAACAACCTGTACCAACTGCAGGAAGAGGTGGGTAGGTACCAATGCAAGATACATTCAACAACCTAAAGCACAATATGGCAACATGAGAACCTAGTGGTCTTTAAACAGAAAGACCTGACCACCCCTACCTTGAAGAATCAAAAGAAAAAGAAGTTGGTAGAGACACTTAAAGGAGAAATGAAAAATCCCCTTAAAGAAATGGAGGAAAATACAAACAAAAAATTAGAAGAAATGAATAAATCTCTCTTTAAAAAGACAAGAAAACCAAGAAATGCAGCCATGGAACATGTCGCCTCAGTTAACTAATACTCACACTATGATTTGAAAAATACAGAAGAAAGGGGTTTTATGTTTTGTAATTTGACTCATGCTTGTCATTGACCTCTGGATTACTGGGATGATTAGTCTCAAAACCATCTTACCTAAACAAGGACTTGAGATTACCTCTATGAAGCTGATTAGACTGTCACTTCCCATCCTCTAGAAAAGCGTACTCTTAGTTTTAGGACAGTAGGGAGAGAATGCCTTCTCTTGTTGGGCACACGTTCAACAGCAGGTTTACAGTAAATCTCAGGGTCAGAAGAGGTAGGCTGGGGGCCTCCTTGCTGTTCTGGTCCTTGTGGGTTTTCAGCAGCAGGGGAAGATTGGTCTTGAACTCCTCCTGCCAGTGTTTCCTGCTGTGGATTGTTGTCTTCATTCCCATCAGCAGCAGAGGACACTGCTCCCTCTTTTGCCTGGGATTTCTTCTATGGGTCATTGTTTTCAACCTCATTGGCAGGAGAGGTCTCTGAGACTTGGCTTTGGCTTTGGTCCTGGGTGTCTGTGTGGGGAGAGCCAGAAGATAAGAGCACACTGGTGAAAGAATTCCTTTGGTTTTCCTTCCCTGACCTAATCACACAATCCTTTCTCCCAGACCCTGTCTGCCAACTGCTAACTCATTGTTCCATTCCTCCTTGCTCTTTGACTTTCTAAATCTACATCCCAATGAGACAGAAGGCTTTGCATTTGCACCCTGGAACAAGCTTGAGCTACAGTTGTGAGCAGGAAACTTTGGGGACCTTACTTATCACATGAGATGTCCCCCAAAGGCAAAAGGGCAGCAATGCAAAAGAAGAATACATTAACAACAGGAAGGCTGCCAACTGTGATTAAATACACATTATGTACTCTCTGACTTTGCAACCTGGTTTCTGAGTCCTAGGATGAAATTTGATTTAGCTTTTCAATACTTTACATCTATACAAAAACATGAAGAGAAGAACAACCTGGCCTACACCAGATTCATCAAATGTTGGGACAACTTGTAATTTCATTTTAAATCAAACACAGATACAAAGTGAATGGGCAATGCAGAACAGAGAAAACAGGGAAAGCCACATATTTCTTCATCTTTTACACAAACGAAGGAAGAAGGAAACCACAGACCCTCTCACTACCGGAAGAGTCAGCATTAAGACATTTTTGATTTCTGCCTTATCTCACAGTGGTCATGTTGGGATGGCAAACAGGCAACTTTCTTCTGCTGTTATGGAAGCTTTGTCTCTCTATCATTCAGTTTGCTCAACTCAGGCATTTTCCTCAGTATCAAGGGTAGCAACAATGATTCAGTCTTTAGAGAAACTAATATTGATTCTTTCCTAAGAGAGAAAATATAAGATGGCACACTGAAACACTGACAGTTACACAGCATGAAGGATGATCTGTTGAGCTTTACCTGAAGGGACAGCAGCAGGATCCTCATTGGAGACCTCTAGAAATAAAGTAAATGTTGAAGTGTGAATTCAGATCACAGTGTTTCAGGCTTACAGATGCCCTAGAAGCACAAATGAGTTCATCAGTCAGTGTGTGAGATGCTTCTGGTAAGACTCAGGAATGCAAGAACATGTGCAGATTCCTTGTACCCTAGCTCTAATCATACAATCTCTTTTATCCTCCATGAATATCTGTAAAACTAACTGCTCCCTTTTCTTAAGTATGCCGTGCATTTATAGTCACAGTAAAAATATGTTTCATCAGTTTGTCTCTTCATTCATTCTTAGTGTTATCAAGAGGCACATCAAGGAGTACAAATCATACAAAGTAAGCACATACTACTTGAAGGACTTTGAAATCTTGAAAGTGGGCCTGCATAAAATATTCACATTGGGCTCTGAGACTAGCACTTCAGTGTCTAGACCATTGGATTTCTTCGGTAATTCACTAAGTTTAGATGAATCCTGATGTGTCTATCTGTACTTTGTGCATGTCATCCTCTGTACAGCAAGGCTAGGTGCTCTCAGCATTCACACTGATTATCAGAATATACTCAAACTGCTTGACATTTTTTACTGCCTCTTTAGAGTCTGTGGAGCACTTTCTTAAACACAAACTGGGCCATCCTGCTCTTCTGCTCAAGCATTCAATGGTTCTCAGATTAAATATTAAATAAAAAAAGCATGTTGTGTGCTGGGCATATAAGTGTTCTAACCCTTATCATAAAACAATTGCTGGGCTGTCTTCTCTCCTGATTCTGTCCTTTCTCTGCTCTTTCTCTTCTCTTTTCTCCCTTATTTCTTTTGAAAGTCTCCAGATCCCACCCTATAATGATTTATACCTTCACTGGGACTCTGAGCTGAGCTCAGGAACAACAATGTCGCTGTGAACAGAACTGCCAGCATCTTGGAGCAGGCTCTGGAGTTGGCTCAAGTGAATGCTGGGACAAGCAAGGCCATTCCCTTTATAATAAGGAGCCCAACAATGGCATCTTTATTCCACAACTGGAAGAACTTGTCCCACTATTTCTCTTTGAGACTTTAGCTCAGCAGGCTGGGGTGTGGAGGAGATTGACAACACTTCCTATCTAGAAGGAATATCACTTAATGTGGTGATCAGGTTAAAGTGGCATTGTCTCCTCACAGACAAATGTATTCCATTGTTCATGTGACACATTTTCAAGCCACTCAGTAGCTGTAGCATATAGGTTGCTTCTCTTCATTAGCTGTTGTGAAGAGAGTGACAATAAGCATGAATGAGCAAATATCTGTGGAGTAGGATGTTGATTCTTTTAGTCATATGCCAATATGTATGTATATGTGAAATGTCTGGGTTATAAAATAAATGTACATTTAGGTTTGCAGAATCCTCCAACCCCATTGCCATTCTTATGGCTATAGTTTACAATCACACCAATGGTGGGTAGTGTTCCCTTTTCCAAACTTCCTCTCAAGAGTTTGGTGTCAGCTCTTTTCTTGATCTTGGCCATTCTGATATGTGTAAGAGGAAATCTCAAAGTATACTTGTATTAAATTCTACATCTTGTAAAAATGCTGAACAATAGTTGTAGTGCTTGTTAGCTATTTTACTTTCTTCTTTTTAAATCCCCTCTCTAGATCCCATGCTCATTTTCACTTGAGCTACTTATTTTCTTGTTTTATTGTTTGTTTGTGTATTTTACATGACCTGAATATCCTGAAAATTAATCTCCACACAGAAGTATAGCCAGCTAAGGTTATCTCCCAACATATTGCCTTCATCTTTACTTGATCATTTCATTTGCTGTTCAGATATTTTGTGGTTTATGAAATCCTATTAAAATCATTCATTAACCTTAATTCCTGTGAGGATGAAGCCCCATTCAGAAATTCCTTTCTCATTCCTGTATCATGCATGGTACTGCCTGTTTGAATTCAATAGTTTCAGGATTTTGGGTTGTGATCCACTTGGAGTTGATTTTCTGTACAGGGTGGTAAATTAAATATAGATCTAATTTCATTCTTCTCCATGTGGACATTGTTGCACCAGCACCATTTTTGAAGATGCCATCCTCCCTCCACTGTGTGTTTTTAGCATTTTCATCAAATGTCACAGGACTTTAGCTCTGCACACTCCTGTGTGCATCTTCTGTTTCATTCCATTGGACACCTGTCTGACTTTGCTGTTATCTTACTATTTTGGTTGCTGTAGCTGTGTAACACAGATTGGAATGTGATAACGTAATGCCTCTAGATGTCTTATCCTCACAATTGACTATCCAGAGTGTTTTATGGTTCAGTATAAATGTTAGGATTATTCTTTTATTTCTGTGAAGAATTTCATGGGTATTTTGGTTGGCTTTATATTGAATCTCTAAATTCTGTTAGAATCATAATTGTTACAGTGTTAATCATACCAAATCATGATCCAGGAAGTTTTCTCAGTTTTTAGGGCATTCCTTACTCTCTTTTCGTCTGAGATTTGGAGTTTTCAATGGAGAAAATATTCGCAAGATAAGTCAACTTTCTTCATAGATAGGTTTTCTTGCTACTGTGAACAGGATTGTTTTCATGTTTGTACTTCGTTTTGTTTGTTTGTTAGCAGTATATTGACAGGATGTTACTTTTTAAATTTGTTGTTGTATCCTGTCACCTCAGTGAAAGTGTTAATCAGTTCTATAAGTTTTATCAGGTAAATGTATAGTCGTAGATAATAATATGCTGAGTGAGATAACTCACACCAAGAAAGACAAATGCTATACATTCTATTTCCTCTATACATCATATTTCTGAATCTTTAAATGTGGATAAACAGAACCAGGAGGTACCACAGCAACCAAGGAAATAAAAATACCAAAATGCATGGTGGAAGAGAAGGAATTCTAGACAAAGCAATGGTAGGACAATGGTGCTATGAGGGGAAATGGAAAAAATGGAGAGAATTGTACTATTAAGAAGGGCAATACAGAAGGAAAAAAGATAAAGTGTCATAAATAATATTTTAAATGAAATGAGGAAAGAAATTTACTTTTATTTAAGATACATGGAGAAAAACATAAATGTGTATGAATCCAAATACATGTACAGTTTAAATGAAGTTGTACTTCTTGGTTGCAACACACCACCAAGAGGCATAGCCTATCTAACAAAAATCACACTACCTGGCATGGAAAACATCCCTTACAGTTGTGGGTACAAGAGAGCCCCAAAACAATATCACCTATTGCCATTGTCTTTGTTTGCCTCCCATAACATGAACTTATTACAGATGACACCATGCACTTGCACATAGGCAGAATCAGGTTTAAGCAATGCTAGAAGCTTCCTGCCTGAAGATGAGCTCCCATAGCATCCTGAAAGTAACAAGAATGCTGCTAATAAAGGAAAGCAGTCAATAGTCTCCCTAGAGAAATCTAACTACATTCTAAATATTTATCCTTATACTCACAGACAAGTGCAGCTCTCTACTTTCATCCAAGAAGCTGCTTTTGTAACCAAGACATATTACACAGATATGTTCAAGTGGTCAGAGAATAAATTCCATAGGATGCCCAACCCCACCTGAACATCTATAACATAACCCCTACACATAAGGCTCAGAAAACATTATGGAAATTGGAGCAGAAAGACTGAAAAAGCAGATGACTAGGGGATCCTTCATATATGATGGAGAACTGTACCCCAAAATTTCAATAAGCTTTCTCTAAAAACAACCAGCACAATAACCACACGAATTGACATGCTCACATAGTTGGTGGAAATCACATAAGGCTCCACACCTAGATGAAGAAATAGAGTAAATCAATGACCACTGAGGGAGAGCATCTTAGACTTCTACTAAGACAGTCTAGCCTATACCCAATTTTAAGTGGTCAACCCTAAGTTCATACACAGAAAAGTAATACTAGATGGGTTCAACACATGATATTTATAAGCAGGTGTGAATATGTGTTTAACAGTCACAATTAAAATGTAATGACCACCCCGTCAATGCCTGAGGCAGGTGACAGAGATGAACCTGAGGCCATAAGAAGGGGAGAGCTGGCCCTGAACCTTATCAGCTGCAGCACTTGGGAGAGTGGCCCAACCATGCCTGAGTAACACAGTAGATCTGGCCTTGAAAGTGTGGGAGAGCTGATTCTGAAGATATGAAAGCAAGATAAGTTTCCCTGTCCCTTTTTCATTGTTGTATGAGGTGAATTTGCCAGGGCAATGCAGGAGAGCTCCCCCTGTTGGTGAGGACAAGGGAGAGCTGGCAGGCTGACGAACCATGCAACTAACTACCCAGGCCCAAAATCAAGGTTATGCATTGCTTTAACCTAACATCACCACCATTGGTAGTTTTCTGGAGCAGGTGAAGGGTCCAGTCATGCAGACCAAGGTGCAGGATAACCATAGCACAGGATGTCCAAGATAAGTCTCAATGAGGGACAAGCATTGTTATTGTAGCCTACACCAGAGGCCTCGAACCAGATACTAACTATTTGCAATTAACACATGAAAGTAAAGACACATGGATAAAAGGGTTTACTGTGTGACCATCTGTGTCACACTGTAGCTTTTATGATGAGACTGAAGTTTTCTTCTCTTTTTTGTTCTTCTCTTTTTTGTTCTTCTTTTTTCTCTTATTTTTTTTTAAATTTTATTTTGTGAGGGAGATTGCAAGGGCTGACAGTAGATACAAAGGGATGGGCTAATGAAGGGCATGGATTGAGATACATGATGTGAAAGACATAAAGAATAAAATAAGGTAGAAAGACTATGTAATGACTTTGAGAGGGAACGGTAGGCAGAAAAGGTGTTAGAGGGATATGTGAAAGTCTCACATAAATTTTAATAATCAGGCATATTGTTCATGAACCAAGCCTGGACATTGAAATTAAATTTCCTTCATTATTTTAATGTCAGTCTTGTTGACAATGCTTGAACACAGTCAGCTATGTTCATGTTTGTTCTGGAGTGGAGCAAGTAAGTAGATGCCAGTGTTTGTGCCAATAGAGATGATGTAAGATTCCATGAACACAGTGAGCAGTGCATCCCTAATGTGTTATGACACTACTTTGACATTAGGAACATATGATTGAGGCTCACTGTACTCAGGCCCACAAAGCCTTTCTCAATATCAAAGGATCTTATTAAAGGCAGAGGTGCCTTTTTAATAAAGAATACATGGGTTAAAAGCCTCCCCGTGTTAGTAACATTCTAAAGCTTTCTAAAGTAACAGTGACCAGAAAACATCAAAGGAATTTAGACAATGAAGAGAACATATGTTTTCCAGAGATAATATGTGTTTCATGAGGTTTTGGGAGCTTCCTCCTCTAACTTGTTTCTTGAGGCTCAGTTTGTGTGTTCGTCCTCTTAATAGCAGTTTTATTCACTGTCACTGTCCATATTGACCTCAATTAAACATGTGCTTAGGCTGGTCTATGCAAATTTTAAGTAGAAAATACATGTCCTGCATTCCTTCAGTCTTACAGTCCCCTTACATGATGCTTTCTGATTTATTTTCAATACAGATTATATTCTGTCAAATACCGTTTAGTGTTATTCCCCATTTTCCTTGTGAAAATGTTATGCTGATGTTCCCTCTCAAGAATTAATTCAAATGAATCACAATTATTCTAGGAAAACCTCTGCATTTAGTCTTCTAAAGCAATTACTAAATTAATATTTCTCATCTTATTTTCATTGGTAATTTGGAACTAAAAGTATTCTGTGTGCAGTGACCCTTCTTTGGGTACATGGTCTGATGATTCTTTTCTCTAATATTGTTTGCTTTATTGTATCTAGCCACTGACTTTTCATATTTTTCTTGGATAATCCAAATAATCTAGTAAGCACAGCTGCCTCTAACATTCAATAGTCTGTGAATAATTACATGATGTTCAAATTAGTGCAGGGAAGTGTTATATGAGAGACCTTGTAAGAGATAAGGCATGACTCCAGGTGGATTCTA